TTGGCGATAATTATCCAACTTATCCAAGTCCTTGCTGATATAAACCTTTGATATCAATTTCATAAAAATTTGACAAGAAATGTACATGTGAGAGTGCCAAGTCAAAGCAATGTTCAATATTCATTACATTCAAAAAGGACTTAATTCCTGTAAAATTAGTATCTCAGCACTGAATTTCAAACTTATCGAAGACATTACTAACATATGCTTTCGATAAAATTTCATAAAAATCTGACAAGGAATTGAGGCTTGAGAGTGCTAACAAATGCAATTTTCTAAGAGAATTAACATTTCAAAGTGACATAACTCCTGTAAAAATATTTTATCAGTGTTAACTTTGGAAATCTTCCCAGACATTGCTGATATAAGTGTCATAGGTTTGAGAGCAATTTCAATGCAAATTCCATATAATTCATACTTCCAAGGGGCAAAACTCCTTTAAACATAGTTAATTGGCACTGATTTTTGAAAAAGTTCAGAGATAAAACTTTAATATAAATTTCGGAAAAATCAAGCAAGTATTGATCATGTCACTTGGACGGAAGCTGGTATTTCTATTTTCCCTGCACAACATAGCAGCAAGGGATAATAAAACTTGATGACAACAAATTCAAACTTGATTTAAATGTTAAATAAAATTGGATGTGGATTTAACATATTCTATATTTGTTCAGAATAAAATTTCAAAATAAAATGTCACCAATTCTTTTTTTGATTTCATTTTACTTATCTCATCTCTCAAAACTGAACTTGGTCATAAAAGAAGCATTAAAACACTCATCAATCAATAAAACATGCCAATGAAGTTAAACATGTAGGTCACAGAGACCAACTTTAGTGAAAAGCTGTTATGTTTTACTATATGGATCCTTAATCCTAGTTATATGGTTGTAGGTCATTTAGAACTGATTTTTTAAATTTGAAAATTTTATCAAACCCAGTGATTTATGATATAAGCATCTATTGAATTGGTCTTTTGATATGTGTCAGAATTTACAAGATGCATCTGTACACCAAATATAATGGCTTTCCTTCAGCCAGCTTCAAAGGACTGGCTGACGATGAAGGACATGGATGTCCCCTCAATATTGCTGATGGAAATTTTTAACCCTGAAAACAAGATATTCTAAAAGCTCAAGTTCTGATTTTATAAAGGTTTTTATCCCAAGTTTCAATCCAACCAAAATCTCTATCATTTAAACATGTGGATCAATGTCTTCAATCTATACAAACATAATGGTTTCCCAAAGACAAACCACAGACACGTCCCAATAAAGTCATTTATTTAATGTTATCCCATAGTTATCTATGTTTATACTACACAAAAGACTAAAGAAAACATGACAACATTGCCATGTATGGAACTTTTATTTGGACTAAGAATTAATGCACGAAAGTTTGACAAAGTCAAACACCTCTCTATATAATCCAAAACTATCATTAAAATTAAGGTGAAATTAATGTCAACAAACGTTGATTTCATGTAGACATTTAAATATCTATGTCTATAATAGGTGAGATTAGAGGTTTTCTTCAGCATGGCAATTATGGCCTTCTAAAATACACATAAAATATTTATGAAATGATTCATTCTATAAATGCTTTCACTCCTAATAATGACCATTAAATCACCATGAATGGTTAAAGTATATTTTATTGTTATAAAGAATAGTTACCTTAACTGCAAAATGAACATACAAAGTCAAAGGAATGTTTGGTTTGTATTTTTATTATTTCCAATTACTATATCATTAAGAAGACATGAAAAATTCAACTTGAAATATTTGAGGTCGCATAAAATATTTAAAAATTAAAAAGATTTTTAAAATTGAGAAAAAAATCATGACTGTTAAATGGTAACAGATATAACTATTATATTACAAAAAAGCTTAATATAATTAAGACACTTTAACATGATGCTCATTTTAAAATTTTAAAGGGAACAAAAATTCAATCAAAGTATTTTTCTGGCAATTCAGAAATATCTTTTAAAGTTTTATTATTAATTCTATAAAAGTTGTATTAATATGGCATCCTGTTTTGGGATATGCTAAAAGTTCAAGACCAACAGAAAAATAACATTCTTTATGCACATAAACATCATAAATTTGTTTATGCTGACCTCAATACAACAACAAAATTCTGTCAGTTTTTGATAATTTTCCTCTTGATTAGAATTGATATAATTTACTGTATCTTCATGGACAGCATGTTCATATAGAAAGGATTTACATGAAACTAAAAATGACAAGACCAAACATTTTTATATATAGTTCTTGTAAGCATAAACTGATCCAACGTTTCATAAAAAAGATTAAAATCTTAATTTTATGACTAAGAAAAAGCAGTTTTAAAAATACTCAAAGGGGAGGAGGGTACAAATTGTGCACAATTTGGTCTAAAAATTAAATGCATTTCAAAATTTCTCAATATGCAGAATTGATTATTGACTATGTGCATGAACCTAAAAGCTTTGTAAATGGTTTCAAGCTGCCAGAAATTACGGCTGTTAGTGTCAATGTGTAATGTTGACTGCCAAAAACTAAAGTCTATTACTCAGAAAAATATTGATAAATAAAATTAGAGGCTTTAAAGAGCCTGATTCACACATGCATCTTCAGCAATGGACACTTTTTAGTAAAAATCATCATTTAATGGGAATAACTCTATTATTAAGAGTTTACTGACAATTTCAGTCATGCTGACATATTTGTAGATCTTATCCTGCTGATCATTTTTCCTTCATAAAGTTTCTATTTATCTATTATATTTTTCAAGTTAATAGACAAAAATGCATGAATTGGGAAAAATTGTCATTAAAGGGCAATCACTTCAATAAGGTCTCAACTGATGATTTCAAGTCTTTCAACTTTTTTGTGAATCTTGTCTTGATGATCATTTAAGGTATTTAAAGTTTTTGTCCATCTAATATGATTTTCGAGAAAAAAATCAGAAAAATATGTTGTTTTTAGGACAATAAATCTTAAAAGATGTCATAGACAATATGTAAATCTCATCATTTTGAATTTTTTTTACTGCAACAGGTTTTCTCTATCTATTGCAGTTTTCAAGATAATAGATAAAAATTGCATTTTACCCTATGTTCTATTTTTAGCCATGTAGGCCAACAGGGTTATTAGACACTTTTTTCAAACAAGATACATCATTGATGGCAAAAGCTAACACGGCCTTCGGGCCAGATGTGCTAAAAACAATTCTTTAGATGCTTTTATTTATTATGAAAGTTTCATAAAATTCCATGAAGTTTTGACAATGTAATTGATGTATGAAAAACTACCATCAGAATATATCTGAAAGGTTAACTTAAAAAATAAACAATGTTCTTTTATCATGTTTATTAGTAAAATACTGAAAAATGAAAAAGAAATATTTTTTAAATTTTACTCTGGAAATTGTCTTTTAATCATGAAAAAAGCATCTATCCAAAATTCCTAAACTTCCATGAAGGTTTGACAAAATTATTGTTGCCTTAAAAATCTTTAATAAACCTAGCTGAACTGGAAAGTAGGATTGCTATGTCTCCCTTACAAGATTTTAGCAGGTGAGAGAAAAATGGTCAAATCATACAAAATTATGACAGTTTGACTAACAGATGCTGGGAAATAATTTATTATGAAGAAAATGAGATAAAAGGTATTATTCCACTGCTTAAACATATTGATAGTTTAATCAATATTTGATTGGTTGAGACTATCCCACGTGTCATTGAACAAATCTTCATATTCCATTCTGAGGATCATATTCCCCTCTGAAATGTCGGGATTACTTCGTGCGACGTTACGCGCGGTTAATGTACATAACGTTTTGAACTTCTTATTCTTCTTAAAATAGCGATAGCAATAAAATGCTCTGCTGGGGCGCAGCTTGATACGACCGCAGAGGTCGAACCCTGAACAGTTGGGGCAAGTATGGACACAACATTCAAGCTTGATACAGCACTGAATTTGGATTATAATTAAATATTTGACACAGCATAGGTTTCTCACACAGAATGAAAGTGGTCTAAGAACTTAAAAATTTTTAATTTACCTAATCAAACCATATCATTATTATTTGCTTTTATATATAAATCAGAAATAACCAATTTAAGAAAAAAAGGAAAAAAAATCCCCCCCCCCCCCCCCCCAATTTTTTGAACCCCCTTATGATTCATCACCCCCAAACTCAATCCCAGCTTTCCCTTTGTGGTATGGTACCTTGCAGTACAATTTCAGAGAGATCCATACACTTGAACACAAGTTATTGTCTGGAAACTAGAAAAATGCTTGTTTTTTGGCCCCTTTTTGGCCCCAAATTCCTAAACGTTTAGGGCAATTACCCCCAAACTCAAACCCAGCTTTCCCTTTGTGATATGGAACCTTGCAGTACAATTTCATAAAGATCCATACACTTACACACAAGTTATTGTCCTGAAACTAGAAAAATGCTTGTTTTTTTGCCCTTTTATGGCCCCTAATTACTAAAATTTTGAGGGAATTACCCCCAAAATCAATCCCAGCCTTCCCTTTGTGGTATGGTACCTTGCAGTACAATTTCAGCGAGATCCATACATTTGAACACAAGTTATTGTCTGGAAACTAGAAAAATGCTTATTTTTGGCCCCTTTTTCCTAAACTTTCGGGGCAATTACCCCTAAACTCAATTCCAGCTTTCCCTTTGTGATATGGAACCTTGCAGTACAATTTCATAAAGATCTATACACTTACACACAAGTTATTGTCATGAAACTAGAAAAATGCTTGTTTTTGCCCCTTTTTGGCCCCTAATTCCTAAAATTTTGAGGCCACCACCCCCAAAATCAATCCCAGCATTCCCTTTATGATATGGAACCTTGTTGTACAATGTCAGAGAGATCCATACACTTACACACAAGTTATGTCTGGAAGTTACAAAAATGCTTATTTTTGGCCCCTAATTCCATAACTGTGGGTACCATAACCCCCAAAATCAATCCCCACCTTCCTTTTGTGGTATTGAACCTTATGGTAAAATTTCATTGAGATCCATTCACTTAAACTAAAGTTAGAGTGCGAAAACTAATGTGTCTTCGGACGACGCCGCCGCCAATGTCATACCAATATACCACAAAAATTTTTTTGCGGTCGTATAAAAATCATTCTCATGTTTAAATTTATTTCAGAAGATAAAACAAACAGACTTATAATTAAATTTTGATCCTTACTGTTTATCATTGGGTATGTCGTGTTTAGTTTGACTTACAAAAACAAGCGGATACGAAAAAAAATGTATGCAAAATAATATTTAATCTATTGATAGTAAACAAAGCGTAGGCAGTGGAATAAAACATTCATTTCCCTTTGCCTCAGGAGATATGAAGATTTGCTCACCCTCGAAAAATCATATTTCCCTCGGGCAGAGCCCTCGTGAAATATGAATATTCTTGGGTGAACAAATCTTCATATCTCCCTCCTGCACGGGAAATAAATGTATAATCTCCCACACCTGATATCACATATAGAATATTGATATTGTACACTAATAAGACACCTATAGGTGTTCTATGTAATAGCTTTCTAGTGTCGTCATAAAATTTGTTCCACAGGTTCCATGAAGACCTCAAATAATGTAAAAATCTGTAGTCTGGACAGATAGAAACTTCAGGACAGAAGGACTAAATGAGCAATATGTCTTTTATTTACTGAATTCTAATAAGAGCTTTTTCTACACCTAACAGAGTTTTAAATGAATATTATTTTTTCTCATCATTTTAGAACACTTTTATTTACTTTCACTTTTTTTTCAATTGTTCATTCATTAGTTCTTAGGTTGATTCATTTGTTCGTTTACCTATCAATTTATTTCAATCAATCATTTATTGTTTATAATTAAAATCTTATCACCTTAGAAAAGACAAAACTATAAATATTCAACATGAAAATGAAAAATAGAAAATTATATGAAATTCAGTTATACGTAAATCAACATATTAAATACATCAGAAAATGTGGTCAGGCATCCAAATAAGTGTACCAAAACATTTCCTTCGTTGAATTTTTAGGAATCTGAGAAATTCTTAGTACTGTAAATTTTGAAATTATTGTTATGTTTTTATCATTGCAAAAAATATCAGGTTCGCAAAAATAAAAACTTGCAATAATAATTTCAGTATTGATTTCCTTTAATAAACTGTTATCACAGAGATATGTCTTGCTTTTTTGTAATTTTGATTATGCAAATGTTGAAATTAAAATGGCAATACTTAACAAGTTAGGCTAATATGCAAAGTCAATGAACCATGACTGAGGTACATGGCTAAACCATCTCTATATAAATGAGACGTTCCAATGCTAATACAACTACATACCAAATATCATTGACTTATTATAAGTTGTTCCCTTTAAACAAACCTAAACACAAACATTAACTTGTAAACTATGTAAAAGTTTCAAAGTCAATGAACCATGAAGAGGGGGTAGAGCTATATAATCTCCATGGAAACTATACTTACAAATACCAATAAATTTGCAAACCAAATATCATTGACTTAACATTAGCAGTTCATCTTAAACTGTTCTTATCACAAACAAATACATGTAAACTAAGCAAAAGTTTCAAAGTCAATAGGCCATGACTGAGGGGATGGGGCCAAATATTCTCCATTGAAATGAGATGTGCTAATGCTTATACAACTGAATACCAATTAACATTGGCCTACCACTAATGGTACCACTTGAACTGACCTAATCACAAACTAATACATGTTAACTAAGCAAAATTTTCAAAGTCAATAGACCATGACTAAGTGGGCTGAGCCAAATAATCTCCATGGAAATGAGATATGCCAATGCTTATACAACTGCATACCAAATATCATTGACCTACCACTAATGGTTCCCCATAAACTGACCTAATCACAAACTAATACATGTAAAATAAGCAAAAGTTTCAAAGTCAATAGACCATGACTGAGGGGGCAGGGCCAAATAATCTCCATGGAAATGAGATGTGTCAATGCTAATACAACTGTATACCAAATATCATTGACCTACCACTAATGGTTCCCCATAAACTGACCTAATCACAAACTAATACATGTAAAATAAGCAAAAGTTTCAAAGTCAATAGACCATGACTGAGAGGGCAGGGCCAAATAATCTTCATGGAAATGAGATGTGCCAATGCTAATACAACTGTATACCAAATATCATTGACCTACAACTTGTGGTTCACCACAAACTAGACCTAATCACAAACTACTACATTGTTGACGCCGCCGCTGCCGGAAACAGCATACATATGTCTTGCTTTTTGACTCCGTCAAGCGAGACAAAAACTAATTGCAATCGCAATAATTAGATTTCACATTTTTGCCAGAGGTGAAGGATTCTCAATGATAAATGCAGGCATTAATTTCTGAATTTACAGTATCAGATATTCTATAAACAAGGGCTTTACTGATAAATGTAACAATTACAGTGTATGGCAAACACTTGAACAAAATACATTTCAGATTAAGGCTTTTAACCAATAATAAATGAAGATGTGGAGTATATTTCAATGAGACTGCAACTTTGCAACACAATGACAATTTACAAAATATATCTTACCTCCTTTTCTTCATTTGTCCTAGCTGCCTCTAGAGCACAATGGTAACATTCACTTGGACCATCCGTCTCCCCTGATATACTCTATAGATATAAACAAAACAATACATACTTCATTATGTTTGCATCTAAATAACTTGATAAGTTTCAAACCCAAATGGTAACTGGGTATAGAAGTATGTCATCATGTGTCTTCCTCTGACCGACAGTAAAACCCATGCCAAAGTGGGGCATCTGTTTGCCTGTGCTGGATGTATAAATTCACAGCCAAGTCCGGTCAGAACGGGGATGTTAAATCTGATGATTCATGTAGAGAGATGTCACACTGTCTGCATATTAAAGAACCCTTTTTGAGGGGGCAATAGGTGACCTGTTGCAAGGCCCCTATCTGTCCCTATCAGAAAAACTATTGGTTTCTAGTGGCAGGCCAAATTTCTAGCCCTTCATCCCTGTAGTCCAATCTTGCAGAATCTACTTACTGTATAAATTGTAATTAGTTTCTAGTTGTAAATATGGTTGAAATAATTGCCACTAGACTTCAAGCAAGCAACAATTAATCAATCAATCAATAATGATAAGTTTCAACAACTACCAGCCACAATAATTCCCTGAAGAGTTTTTTTTTTCTTGGAAAATTAATACTTCTCTGCAATTTTTTATGTGTTCAAGGACCACAATTATAGAAAACAGTGGGAAAACTGATATTTTCAAGCAATATTCAATGACCTATGAAACAACTTCCATAATAAACTGTTGACAGTCAGACACAGAGATATGTCTCGCCTGTCAACATAAAATTCGGAAAAAGACAATCTGATGGACAGCAATATTGCTAATTAATTCATAATCACTGGACCAACTAGTGGGTAGGCCCTCGAAATGGTTGACAAACTGAGATATACAGACAGCAATGTAACTTTATAGAAAATTTTGTCTATTGTAAGTAGTTCCTATCAATCTAACTTAATCAGAAAACTTAACATTGAAAATTGTTAATTGATTGAAAGTTCCTGAACCATGGCCTAGGGAGCAGGGCCTCAAAATAGTCGTCAAACTGATATATACTGATAGCAATGCAACTTCATACAAAATATCATTGATCTAACACCAGTAGTTCCTATCAAACTAACTTAAGCAGAAAACTTAACATTGAAAATGGCTAATTAATTCAAAGTCACTGGACCATGGCCTAGGGGGCAAGGCCTCAAAAAAGTATCAAACTGATATGTACTGATAATAATGCATCTTCATACAAAATATCATTGATCTATCACAAGTAGTTCCTATCAAACTAACTTAAGCAGAAAACTTAACATTGAAAATGGCTAATTAATTCAAAGTCACTGGACCAGGGCCTCAAAATTTTCGTCAAACTGATATGTACTGATAATAATGCATCTTCATACAAAATATCAATGATCTATCACAAGTAGTTCCTATCAAACTTACTTAAGCAGAAAACTTAACAACTGTTGACACCATTGCCGCAGCCGTAGCCAGAAAAGCAATCCCTACGTCCCGCTTTCTGCGACGAAATCATCGCAGGAGAGACAAAAATCACCCAACCAGCTTATTATGTTACTTATTTTAATATGACTACTGTGGAATCATTTATTTTTTCGTGGATACCAATTCTTCTGGATTGAGGAAAGACTTTTTTGTGGATACTTGATTTCATGGTTTAAACAAATTTTGCATTCAAACCTATCGGAAATTTTACTTTGTTTAACATTTAAATTTGTGGTTTACCATTACCCACTAAATCAACAAATATCAAATAATAATGAATCTACAGTATATATATATAATGTATAATTAACAGATAAAGCCATTTCCAAGATAAGTAATGCTGGGAACTGATTTATTTAAGTACACTGCCCAAATGGAACTAAAGGCCTAAACTTTGCAGTGAAATGAAGATTTTTAAAAGCAGCTAACCAATTTTGAAAATTACTAAGTCACGCCTGATGACTGATTTCAAAGCGATGTAAACCAGTATAAGGGAAACAACTCAAATTGTTCAAGTAGAACGGTGACCTGTATTAACATCAAGATTTTTGAAGAGATCAAGGAATAAAAGTGTGGTTGATTGAATGAAATAGATTTATCGCTATTTTACGAAATTTTTCTTTGATCTTACTGACTGATAATTTCCTTTCTCATCACAGTAGAGTGATATGAAAAATTATCGCTAGAAACTAAGGGCGCATGTGCATGAAAGTAACAACGTCGACCTAGGTAAAACAGCGATAAACAGATTATCATTGGTCATCTCAACTCGATTGCTTTACTCACTTTCGCTGTACCGGCTCAAGCGAGGAAAATCAATCTCGTTAAGATGACAAACGATAATCTATAAATAATGCTTACTTTGTACTTCCATTATCTAAATATTGAGGAACCTAGCAACTCAATTTGAGTTATAATGTTGGAACATTGCGTCATGAGGAAGATGCTTAATCACTAGGGGTGACTGGTTAGTGATTCTGTTCCCAAAACTAACAACACCTCAATCATAAAATTCAAACATAAAAAGTAAAAAACCAAGATAAATCAAATAAAAATTATAAGCCATACAAATTCTCTAAAGTTATTATGATCCGAAGTAGCCTTAACTGGTATACAAAAACCCTATGAGTTAATGCTTATGCTATTGACCAAGCAAGTCTTGATACAATAACAAATCATTTGAGACAAGGTTAATGCTTATGCTATTGACCAAGCAAGTCTTGATACAATAACAAATCATTTGAGACAAGGTTAATGCTTATGCTATTGACCAAGCAAGTCTTGATACAATAACAAATCATTTGAGACAAGGTTAATGCTTATGCTATTGACCAAGCAAGTCTTGATACAATAACAAATCATTTGAGACAAGGTTAATGCTTATGCTATTGACCAAGCAAGTCTTGATACAATAACAAATCATTTGAGACAAGATTAATGCTTATGCTATTGACCAAGCAAGTCTTGATACAATAACAAATAATTTGAGACAAGCTTGGAGTAAGTTTTCTGGAGCCTTTTTTTTTACAAAATGAGGAAGATGTACATGAGACTAATGAATTAAATGCTATCAACAAATTTGATTTAATTCTAAAATCAAACTGACAGTAAATTAAGACGATGACTACATGAATAACAACTGCGTTGTTAACATTATGTAATTGAAGTGTTTTTAATATAGTTATATCATATTAAAATATTATATTAATTAAATATTAACAGGTATATTTTTTCCATTGCAAAGAAATCACTGGAATATGACCCAAACAGAAACAGTAATGGAAATCCACTCTCCCTACTCTCTTCTGGAAGGAGAAGTGACTTCTCTCTGTCTAAAATCCTAGATTAGGCCCTTTAAATAAACTCAAACTTTCTCTGTATCTTCTAATTATAATCAACTGAAAGACTGAAAGGCTGATGGATGCACAGAATGCCAATCTATAGTCTCTTCAGCTGTGGTGTAGTGGACAAATACACTTACCAGTACTTCTGTGCAAAACCTTAATTACACATTCAAATAATTTTCTAAGAAGCTTATAAATGAAAGAGCTAATATATAGTGAGAAACCTCATATACCCCACATTTCAACATAAAAGGAAAAGAATTATATTGACTACCTGTCTTTTTGAAAAATGAAGGCCTATCAAAGCAATAAGAATTAAAAGTGAAACATTTTTACAAGTTCCCTTCCCAAAAAATTGTACTCCATTTAAGAATTTTCTGCAAGTTCCTCTCTTGAAAAAAGTCTTTACTTCAAATAATTCTGGGTATCTCCCATTTCAGATTTTTCTGATTATTTAACTCATCCAAGGTATTGATGGGTGTAATACTACATACAAATTTGAAGAGGATCCAACAAGTGAATCTGTGAGCTACTGCTCACTAATGATACCACCACCACGCTAAAAGTATAAGGTAAACAGGAAGTTGTTGAGTGATGAATCTGAAAACGCATCACATGGTATAGCTGACTCATATAAACCCTGAAACCAAATTTCAGAAATCTTTGTAAGGTTCCTGAGAAAGATGCGATGAAAAATATTCATGGGACAGACGGACAGACAGACGGACTGATGGATAGACTGACGGATGGACAGACAGACAGAGGTAAAACAGTATACCCCCACTTTTTTAAAGCGGGGGTATAATAATAACAAATGAAAGTGCTAGCTTGGTGACAACAGAGTGATGATGGACTGATGGGCTGACAGACCAACCGATGGACAGGACAAATACATTATATCCTCCACAACTTCTTGGCATGAGGTATTATATTCCTTTTAAAATGTATAGCGAGTCTAAAAAGAGAAAATAGTTTGTAAAATTCTGAAGCTAGAAATTAATAGCTGCAGTGCTATATAAATATTTATCTCATCATTTTGGGGCAAGTGCTAAAAGAAATTAAGGCCAAACCAATTTGATTTTTAGTTCTTCGGACAAAAGCTCCAAAAAATATGGGGCGAGCGAGCGAAATTTTTTTGATTGTATTTATTTCATGAAAATGAGTTTTGTTGAGGCGGGTGCTCTATAAGTGGAGCGAGCGGTAATTTTTTTTTTTTTTAATTGTGAGATTTAGAATTTTATGTACATATTACGACTAATTTACTTCAAAGAAAAAGGAGGAGAAACATGCTCAAATGCATATAATATGATGTATTTGTGCCTGTAGTACAGTCTGTACCATACCCAACTTTCTGGTTCGCTTTGGTTTAGTATAATTTTGATTATTTTCATCAAATAACCTTTGACTGTGTGAATTTTCATTTAAATTCATAAATGCGTATATATTAAGGAAGCATAGCAGATGCAGTTTAACAAGAGGAATTATGTTAGTTAGGTAAATGAAATGTGTTGAATACAATTAAAATATGTGTATATTTCCAAAAAATGCCCTTGAAAAATATTAAATAGCTTTTGATATAGTTGTTTTCATTATATGGTAATGATTGTTTATTGGCTGCTTGACCACAGGCACTTGTCTCAGAAAAAAAATTTCCTATATACCTTAATATAACGGAAATTTTTTTTCTGAGACAAGTGCCTGTGTGCTTGACATCCAGTTGGAACTTTTTATCCATAATAGGACTAACATAATGAGTGAGGTGAATATTTCAACAACATCCTGAGTAAGATAGTTAATATATTGCATGTAGATCTCAATGTATTAAAACATTCCCTTTTAATACCTTTAACCACATTCACATGCATTATTCTGACTGAGCAAAATACTTTTTCCTTTTGCCCCTGAAACCTGCAATGTATTTCAAACTGAAAGTAGTTGCACCAATAACACATCCCTAATATTATTAACATGGCAATCACAATACCACCACTTTGGTCTCGAACGTTGGAACTCTTAAAATTTCCCTTACAAAAGAGTTCTGATTGCATGTCAATAGACTAACAAGGGGATATGGGGTTTTCATCTGTCATTTTTTTTAAATTCATGTGAATTTAATATTAATTTCATCCAAGACAGATAGCTCTATCTATGTCTGTTGTAGTCTGAGATTACTAAGACATCCAACGGCTGTTTTGCCAGACAAGCTGGGGCCGTGGGACAACAGCGCCCCATTATGTCTGGCAAAACAGCCGTTGGACGTCAGAGTAATCTTGGACTATGACAGTCTATGTCTGTTGAAACAATGACAATGATCGGGGATGACAATGGTTCTAACAAGTACTGATGTGATCGTGGTCATCTAACGAACTTTTTTTTATTTTTGTCTCGTAGAACAGGTCTTCATTGGTAAAACGAAATGCATTTCAAATACTAGTAACTGTGTGTTTAATAACTACTTGTCCTCGGCAATGATCTGACACAACTTCATGTTGGCATCCCGATTTTTGACCTTTTATTTACAAATCAATTTATCACATGTGCGTTTGAATCGATCGGAGCAATATGTGCACAAGAAAAACGTCTAAGAGAAAAAAAAATTTCAAGGATAAACTAATTTTGGAGCGGCATGCGGCCCAAAAATTGGCAGAAGTGGTAATTATTTTTTTTTTATTGAAAAGTCAATTTCTCAAAAACAGGAGCGGGAAAATCCAAAAAACTATTAACCAAATTGGTGTGGCCTAATGTTACTTGTTTGTTTTCACTAAAACCTGTTTGATATTGATAGTTGTAATTGTTACAGACACATACCGTTGGTGATGAGGGTTTAGCTATATTCTCACTGCTCTGTCTTGCCTCCAAGTAACCAGCAGCTGACTCTGTTCTTCTACTCAAATCTAATTTTAGATCTAGTTTTTCCTTTAATAATGATGACATTGGCCTAGGAGTGCCCTGATTTGACTGAAAATAATGAATAACTTGCAAATGAAAGAGCATCATGTATCTAATATGATTTAAATATATCTACATATGCATTTAATTATATCTACCAATTAAGGATTTGATTGTGGACAACACAAATTTACCTTGTTCCTGAGAATTGCTAAAAATTGTAAAAAGTATTTTAAACTGTTGCAAATTGAGTTAACCTATTGTTACGTAGCTGAGTTTTACATGGCCAAGCTTAGAATGTAGAACTTTTTATTTTTATTCAAATGCAAAATAATCTAATTATCATTTAAAGTGGTATGGGTGTCTTGGCTATCTTGGATTGTAAAATAGCAGAACACAATAGGTCCAGATTTTAAATGAAGTGAGCAAATTTTGATGCAAGAATGTAATGTACCAGAAACAATTTTCATTTCAAGGCACAACTTTATATCTTTTATAATTTAATAACTAATAAACTTCCAAAGGTACAATATTTTTGCTTGATGTAAAAGTTTTAACTTAGTATATTAATGGGAGGTAACTCAGAAATTGTGCAATTCAAGGAATCTATAAGGAATTTTTCTATCTTATGTTATAGCCAGGAAAAACATATGGTGACTCCATTTTCTTCTTAAAGCACTTAAAGACAGCTATCTTCTCATATATTATTTAAACATTCTATCTGTAAGTTACCATATATTTACTTAATGATTTTTCCCCTGTAAAATCCATACAAAGTGTGTATGTAGTTTGAAAACAAGCTTGGTGACCTATCATTTTTATTTTATCTTTAAACATATCACAATACATACTACATTTTGGCAAAGTATGAAAAAATCCTACCGTTTTTTTGTTTATTACACTCCCATACCACCTTATGTCATTATTTCAGTGTAAAAAGTTCTTAAATCATAATTTATCAAAAACGTTCGCTTCTTTGGCAACTTAACTGTTTGAAATCATAAGTATGCTTTCAGCTTCAAATGAAAACACCAAGCATTTTTGGTTTCATGTATGCTTCAGAATTAAATTAAATTTGACAAAGAAGATTTTTAAGGGAAGAAAAATTCTATATTCATAATGGTGGCCTCCCTTACATAAATTAACAATTTTCAGCTGGTTCCTACCCAATGAAATTAATCGATAAAAAATAATTGCATTAGAATATATAATATATTATTACTTCTGATGAGGCACTGGTAAATACCTTCAGAATACCATACACAAAATAAACAGGATTACCTTAGCCTATATAAAAAAAATGTATGCAATTTAAGGCCATTAAAGGATGGAAACATCCACAGATCAGTGTCTACTCTAGCTTTGATAAATAACAAACCAAGCAACTACATAAAATATAATATGTGATGAAATGATAGCATTACATCTGTCTTTCATTTGTATCCCATATGGAACAAGTCAGCATGGTCAGACTTCAAACAAAACATAGCCTTCTACCTGGCCTCAGTACTACACAGAATACTTACCATAAAATAATGTTGAAACAGCCTGTCAGGCAGTATACCCATAATCAACTGTTTATATTAAAATCAAGATATAGTTTGCCTAGCCATTTAGTTTTAAATTACAATTGTGCAAAAAGTTAGACTTTCCTCTAGTGAATCTGGTATGATGAAAGTTGTTTCTAAAGAATGAAAGATTTTCAGCATTTTTATATCAGAACCATTTTCTTCTAATAATGAAAAGAAAGTTATCATATGCTAGGGTATTTCCTATTGTATATACATTATGTGTTACCTGTAACATTGTAAAAGTATATTTATATATTGGTTCAACATAGTGTGATATGTAGGTTTGAACTGAAGACTTTGATAATATATATATGCTTTTGTAAGGAATTTTCATTGTTGGGATTTAGCCCATACATGAAAATGGCTTTCCAATTAAAGAGAAAGCAGAATGCAGTGAATAAAATTTGTATTTAATATTTTTGCTTCTTAAGTCTCCATGTAGAAGATTCATTGGCCACCAACAAAATGAGTTCACCTGAAGTAATATATTAAGGTATTAGTGTTTGTATGACACTTGACTGTGAAAACTTACCTTTGGTCTAGGGGGTGCTGATGAAGGAGGAGGATGTCTAGGAGAGTAAATAAGAGGTTCTGTGCCATGACTCGCCTGCCAATCTGGTGAATTAGGTCTCAATTGTCTGTCTGCCATGTTGGCTTTTCTTTCTAACTCCTTTTGTAAATCTTCAACTGTGTGTATAGTTAACCTTAAAACATTACAATAAAAAATAAATAATATTCTACAATCAAGGAGTAAAGCATAATAAAAGGCTATCAACAGATTTTCTGAAAAAAGAGTGTTAAACATAGCACACACATGAAAATAGTATTAATACTAAAATGTAAATGCCTAAGTTATAAACCTAGAAATAAGAGCAATACTGGACTTTTGGAGTGACAGTCAAAAGATCATTTTTTGAGGACTGTGTAAAAGTGATACTAGTTCATTAAATGTCCATTTTTGTCCTCCCAATGATTTTCTTATAAGTATGTTAAAAATATCATCAGTCTACTGAAAAGGTATTTCATTATTAATTTTAAACATCTTTCTATTCATATCATCATTTAACTTACAACTATATTAATTTGGTTATATCAAAACTAAAGAATATATAAAGTTATTTGTACTAAAAGTATGACAGAAAGGGGCTAAAGTTCAATATGTATTCTACTGATGTGTAAATACATTCTTGGCTTCTCTGTTGAATTAGCTATTTACTACCAAAGCTGACATACATCAATTTGTTTAGAATTCTTTAAACTAATAAACAGATTGAAGCAAAAACAAATGGAGTTCCATACATATAAAATATTATTACAATATCATCATTTAACAAATAAAGGCAAATTGTTCTGTCTATTCAATGTGAAGAATATTTCCCCTGAAACATGCTTTGTTGTTGGGACTAGTGTAATCATGTCACATACCATCATATTTCAAAGAGGACACTGAAACACAAATACATGAAAAAGAGGAGACACCATTATATAGAGGATACAATTAACAAAAGTGAAATTACAGTATACAGCCATAAATTCAGAAATTAATGAAATAGTTTGGTTATAGTAGTATGGGAGTATTTTGCCAACTCAGATTGCAAATGATTTGTCTAGATTTTTACTGAAATTAGTTAATTTTTATGCAAAAATGCAATTAATTTTTTGAAGGATTTTTCATTTTAAATTACTAAATACATCAGATTTAATAATACTCATTGTGTTATATAAAAGAAGAATCTAATTTGAATTTTGGTATGTATAGTGCACACATTTATAACCTGGGTCATGTTTCTTGTAAGAGGGGTGCGCGTTATACATGCCTACAGACATTTTCTTAGTCTTTTTTCAGGTCCAAACTCTGACAAAGAAATTTCCAGGAGAAGTGAAGAGTACGGAATATTTTTGCTAAAAACCTCGATTGTTTTTATGTTTTACATGTTATATTTGTAATATGTATCTTATTGTTCTTGATTTGTCATGTTTTATTCTAATAAAAAACATTTTATATCTCTGTAGTTACGTTTATCATGTAAATTTGTCCATCTGTTTGCAATCCGGAAATTTGCCATGTCTTAATAAAGACACAATAAAGCTTTTGTTGTCGGTTAAATTAGCCTCTGTGTTCCTTGTTGTCATAACTTACTGTTTTTGTATGTGTTCATCATGGAGAGTAGAAGAAAAGTGTATGAAAATTGAATAAACCACGCTCGTTTTGAAAAGATAAACCGCCATTTTTTCTAATGTATCAGGTGATCGCCAGTCAGGTGGGTCAGTCATGTGACTGGATATTGTAAAGTGATGATTTAGTCTATGAGAAGTTTATTTTTATACATACGTTTCTACTTTGTAAGTTTTAAACAACTGTTTAAAACCGTTCAAGAAATTATGATTGAAAACATGATAATCCCATAAATGTAACCTGAACGAATTTAATTAGGAACAAGGTGAACCTGTCACTGATTTGTTTTGACATCGATTAGATCCGTTGATTGAGGTGTGATAATCCGGATTAACAGCTAGAATCAACAAACAAAAAATAAAAATAATGAGATTTTAACAATATTTTACAGCACTAATGATGTTAATGATAATGATTCGTAATTATGTTATTGTTTCAATCAGAACATTAATTTGGATATTTAATCTTGTCCTTGATACTCAAACAATTTATTAAATTTGGTTTTAAAAAACAAACTTAAATGTAGATTTATCTCAATCTATAATAAAATTGTTATTCATTTGTCAGAATATTTGCAATTTCATATTAATTACGTATTCTGTACGGAATTCTCCGACATCGGTGTCCATTTAAAAAACTTCCTGTTTACCGATTTTGGAGCTGTAACTTTTCCGAAAAGGTATAAGAGTCTTATACGAACAATAAACTTTTTTCTCACGATTCTTGGACCATAAAGGGGGTGCGCACTATACACCCCAAAAGACGGTAATTACAAGTTGCTTATTTATGGGAGAAATCAGATAAATAAGAATTTCCTTTTTTTTAAGAATCACATCATAAGTGCTTTTATCAAATATAATTCTTACAATATATGACAATTTTCATCTGCCTGTAGCTTAAAAATAAACATGGCCACCTACAAAATTTTAATTTTTTTTTTTAAAATACAAACATCTTTTGGAAAAATATAAGAAAATTCTTGTATTTTTTTGTTTACAACTCCTTAATTATTAGAGTAAGAAATGTGACAATTTTGTCTTTTTCAAATTTTGCTTGAAATATTTTACTGCATGCACATGAATAACATAAATTTCATTTGCATTAAAGTAGAGCACACATTAAATTCTGAATTTACTTTTCCCAATCAAAGAGAATATAAAGCATAATAATAACACTGACAAAAATATCAATATTCATACTTTACAATAACAAGATTGCACACGCTGAAATGTCTCGCCTACTATACTGACCATTGATTTTATGTTGATAGTCCTAAATATGAAGTTTTACTACAAGTGTCACATTAACATTTATGATCCAAGAAAATGATGTCAAGGTCAGATACACCAAGAAGGAAATACATGTACACCTTTAATACAATCATTCCATACAACGAATATAGATGACCTATTGCATATAGTATAAAAGAAACAGACCAAACCATGGAAATTATATATTGACCAATGAACCATAAAAATGAGGTGAAGGTCAGATGATACCTGCCAGACAGACATATACACCTTACAATCATTCCATACACCAAATATAGTTGACCTATTGCTTAAAGTTTAAGAAAAACAGACAAAAACATAAAAACTTAACATTGAGCAATGAACCATGAAAATGAGGTCAAGGTCAAATAAAACCTGCCAGACTGACATGTGCATCGTAAAATATTTCCACACACCAAATATAGTTGACCTATTGCATACAGTATTAGAAAAACAGACCAAAACACAAAAACTTAACATTGAGCAATGAACTGTGAACATGAGGTCAAGGTCAAATAAAACCTGCCAGACTGACATGTACATCGTAAAATATTTCCAAACACCAAATATAGTTAACCTATTGCATACAGTATAAAAAAAAAACCCAGACCAAAACACAAAAACTTAACTTTTGCCACTGAACCATGAAAATGAGGTCAAGGTCAGATGACACCTGCCAGTTGGACATGTACACCTTACAATCATTCCATACACCAAATATAGTAGACCTTACCTATTGCTTATAGTATCTGAGATACGGACTTGACCACGAAAACTTAACCTTGTTCACTGATCCATGAAATGATGCTGAGGTCAAGTGAAAACTGTTTGACAGGCATGAAGACCTTGCAAGGTACACACATACCAAATACAGTTATCCTATTACTCATAATAAGAGAGAAATTAACATTACAAAAAATCTTAACTTTTTTTCAAGTAGTCTCTGAACCATGAAAATGAGGTCAAGGACAATGGACATATGACAGACGGAAACTTCATATCATAAGGCATCTATATACAAAGTATGAAGCATCTAGGTCTTCTACCTTCTGAAATATTAAGCTTTTAAGAAGTTAATTAACGCAGCCGCCGCTGGATTACTATCCCTATGTCGAGCTTTCTGCAACAGAAGTCGTAGGCTTGACAAAAACATTATAACAATACCTTTGGAAACAGATATATGATACATGGGATCTAACTGTCAGTAGACTTATGTAATCATAAACAGAAATTTGATTAAAATACAAGAAAGGTATACACTGATAACATATTCTGAATATCAAACATCTATAATTTACAAAATTTAGATAAAATTTCTTTAATCAATTTGGCAATAATAACTGTTATGAAAAATTCTTAATTCAAGCTGAAAATGAATATAAGAGTAAATATGCATGCTGAACGAAATTTTTTAAAATGGAACATTGTAAATCTGAGGACTATCCCACAAAATATACATGAAACCTAGACAAAATTACTCTGAGAGACCGTTTCCAATTTGGCCTTTGCTATTTTTAAGAACATGCGTGGAACAAATGTGATAAATGCATAAAATGAAAAAATTGGTACTGCGGTGGTTCCCAAATTTTCAAAGTGTCTTCTACGGTGATCATGTATATCAAAATAGAATATTCCCTACAGTATATGATCTAAGGGAGATAATTATCTATAGGGATTATATACAGGAAAAAAGAATCCTTTAATTGTGCACATGCATTTGATGTATTATAATTCAGTATGTAGTCATAATAAAGAAATTTATTCTAGAAAGACAGCTCTGGTTCAACATTAATATAAAATTAATATCTGGCAGTTTATAAATATTTTATTGCCCATCATTATATGCCAGTCATGAAAATTGGGTTACAAAACCACTTATTTATTTTGGTTACATGGGTCTGAAAGTTAAAGAGAATAATCTGTTGGTTCAGTTTGCACTAATAACTTTTTGAATAAAAAGTCAAGAATCTTTTATTATTTGACTAAAAAAAATTTAAGAATGTTTTTAGCCCTAATTAGATTCAACTACAGACATCGGTTGATGGCTTAAGTTGCAGACTATTGAACTAGTCATTACTTCTTGACAGTACATAATTTCAAATGACCAGAAAGATGACTTGTAGATATTTAAAAAAAGCAATCTATCCATAGTACATTCAGGATATTGGTAGACCTGATATTTGAAGAAATCATACTGAATTAGGAAGGTTTGACAGTCAAGGTACCAACTGCTGCACAAAATGCTATTCAGCACAAATAAAGGAAATTTGTATTACCAGAAACAGCAACCTTATACACTTTACAGACTTTTATAAGTAAAAAATAATTAAAAAATAAATAATATAAAACACTAAATGATCAATAACTAAATTAAAGCATTGTGATATAATTGCCAATGAGAAAACTATCAATATCAAAAATATCAGAAAAACAAAGTCACTGTACAACTTTAGTATTGAAATGTCAAAACTTCTAATTAAAAAGGTTTGTGCAACAAGTGGTATGATCATGTTATATTTCATAAAGGATTCTTTAATATGAACTAACTACTGGTATACAACATAATAACATCAGAATACCTTGTGGACGATCTACAGTTGGTTAAATACTCCAACAGTATACTGAAACACAAATCCAGTTATGTTTAGCTAGCTGTTTATAGAACTAGCAATTGTATGACAGGTAGATACAGTTTAGGGGGGAGGGGAGGGGGACATAAATTCAATCATAGGGAAGGTTCAAACTCCAATATATGTCGGGAGAAACTGTTTTCACAAATTTTTCTTTACCTGTTAACTTCACACTGAATGTAATATAAACTGTAAAATTCATGAAAATATAATATAAACTGCATGATATCTTTGTAGGATGTAAAAAAAACTTCTGAATCTAGATTTTTACACAACAGACAAGAGTTTACATAGACAAAATAACATTTTGCAAATTCTCTGCACATTTCACACAAACAAATCGCAAAATAAATATTTAAAAAATAATAAAATAAAATAGTAACCATGACATATTAATTCAAACATAGAACTCCACACAGAAGGCATGCTAAATTAACTTTTATAAATGTGTGCCCTTCAAACTAAATTTTTTCGACTACATGAGAATATTTATCTAACTTGATGATTAAGCGAGGAATTGTCTGCTGTGTTTTTCTGCAATTTATATCTAAATGGACAAGCCTTTATCTTTTCATCAGTTACAAATTCTTTGAAAAACATATCAATTCAAGGTGGGCATACTATTTCATTCCATTTTTGTTATTTTCTTATAGCTGGACAAATTCTTTGCAAATTACCTCAACTTGTAGACACAATTGTTTATTTTGTGTTTTCAAAATTTTAAATATAGGTATTTATCATTTTAGCCAACCAAGAAATACATGTAAACTAATGCACAATTCATAATACATGTAATGAATATAAATAATGTGTATTTTTTTTTGTTTTTCTTTTTTTACCTCTTTTTAACTTCAACCTTCGAAATGGTTTAATTTTTCATGATGATGCTAGAATTAAAATGTCTGAAACATTTCCATAGGAAAATTTTAATTGTTCGACAAAAAATCTTGAAAATATTAAGATTCTTATATTTATATTAATGTACCTCTGGTGTGTCTGCCACTATTGTTTTTAAATAAATCTGTTGAACTGACTTCAACAAAGGTATTTGCAAACTAACATTAAGCTCTATCAGTGGCAATATATTTTAGATAAGTATACAAAACATCAAATCATCATCTTAATCAATTTATAAAAGACAAAAAAACTTCCTAACATCCATATGAAAATTTCAAAGTATAGGGTCCAATTTATAAATCTATTTAAAGTGAAGTAAAGGTCAAACACAAACAACTAGTGAATTGTTAACAAACCTGATGTATTGATGTTTGTCTGGTCAAAGGAAGATAATTCAAATCGTTTAAGAGTTGAGTTCCCCGATACCAATGTATTAAAGGTAATCACATTCATTTGATAAATGTGTGATAAGTAATGTTGCAACTCTTGTGTTTTTATCTAATAAGAGTTTTGATCTTTTTCCACTTAAAATTATTTTGAAAATTCAGCTCTGTATGATGGTTATTGGATGGAAAATTTGTGGATTTTTATGTTCTTTACAAAAGAAAAATAGGTGATGGTGACACAACTTTACTGAATTACGATTTACTAACAACAGCTGTATATGTAAACCATGGATTTATTATCAAAGATTACAAAGAAGCATATTTAAAATCAAAACTTTACCAAAGTTGTTTAAATGTGTAATGTAGGTCATGGTGACCAAATTTGTACTGTATGAGGGGAAAATTATTGATATATCACTTTATACCATCAGAGGTTTATACTGAAAAGTGAAACAAAGTCCTCATAAATGTTAATGATCAATGCTGTAGACTACAAGATAACTATATGGTAGAGAAATATCATTGAACCACCATCATTGATTTCTGATAAATGAACCAACACTACTGAACTTAAAACAAAATCCATACAGCTGTATGTATATGAGCAATGTTCATGATTTGTAAATCTATATGTGACAGCAACGTTTATTATTCATAAATCTATATAGTCCATTCATATCTACAGCCCAGCATAAAACAAATAAATCAACACCACACTATAAAACCTATTCCACATAAAAATATTCTAGTCTACTTAAATACCAAATTAACAATTGTTTCTGTAAAATAATTACCTGTCACCTATAGCTCCTTTGGGTTTCCAAAAGTGCATATTCTGGTCCCATAGTAACTGGTCCATATTTACATAAGTATAATGGTCTTCGCTGCTCTTTAGCTTACTCTGCATAGCACCATTAGCAGCTAAATGTCAAAATTTACAATGAGGTAGATCAAAGATACATGTCGCAGGGATAAGTTATATAAGAAATTATTATTATCTCATCTCTTAAACTATGTTGCGGATTATAATAAAAAATAAAGCTATGCTCCCTATATTTGACACACCAGTGGTACGCTGGAATCAGAATACCCAGGAGTGAGGTATTGATTATAAATTCTGTAGATTTTTGAAAATTTGTTTGGCATTAATGTCAAATGGTCTTTGGTAAACTTCGTTTTAACTGATTAATGGAAATTCTCTATTGTTGAAGATTGTATTTTGACATCTAAATGTCTTTTTTTTGGATTCATTGTGATGCGTGGCTGTTCAGTGACATATACCCAATCTTTCCTTATCTTAAACAGAAGAATGAAACATGTCAAATCCATTAGGTTAGACTGATTATAGTTCAATATTGAGCATAAAGATTTATTGAAAAAAATTAAAGACTTTAACTAGTATCAAAACAAGTGTTTACTTATAATATCAAAAACTATGAACATCGAAATATGACAATAACATAATCAATACAGGGACTGACTGAGTTAATACAATAAACAAAACAAAAATTATTAAATCTTACCTGGGACTGAATCCATAGCAACAAGAGCAACAAATGGCTGTGGTAATGATACAATTTTACCAAGAGTCTGAAAAAATATTATTAAAAACATTGAAATATGAGTATGTATTAAAAATACATGCAAAGAAATACATAATCCATGACTGAACACTGTCTATACAAAATTCCTATAATGTACAAAAGGTACTTTTGTTCTCACTTCTAAATTGTCTGGAGTCTGATTACAACATCTTTTTATCTTTAACTTTCCTAATATTTTGCCTTTTGAAAGGCATGGAAAAGACAACTATTTTCAATGATATTGTACAAAAACACTTTTTAAAGACCACTGTATGTCTATGTAAGCCTACATACTGATTAGATAAAAACATTTTCAACATCTGCATTGTATGTTATGCTACATTTAAGCACATCCAACAGTTAAATTTTTAAATATTCAAAATGATCAGCAAAAATCACATTTCACAATGAGAAATTGAATGCATGATTTTTTTTTACCTGTGGTCCAAGTAACAAGGAATCACCAAGTTCTGAAATAAAAAAAATTATACTAAAATGTAGTTGAATATTCTATGGTTAGAATGATATAATGGTTTAATATTTATTATTAAGAGTGTTCACATGAATACTAATTCTTTCTATAATTCAATACTAAATGGGTGTAAAGTTCTAACATTTATTGTTTAATGGCAATGAGAGTACATAACAATAATATTTTACTGCCAAATCTTCCTTCGAGAAACATGTTCCCTTAAATATACAAGAAATACTGCCATGCCGATCTTAAAATTTTCATGCTTGAAATATTGATTGATGATTCAATTTACCTTTTTTATACAGATTTTTTAAATTATCCATTTTTCTATTAGGTCTACAACAATAACCCAGGGCTTCCAAAAAATATTTGAGCCAGCCGGACTTTTTTTTGTCATATCACGATTTTAATTCCTTAAGACTTGATAACAAAAGGCAATCATGGTAATCTGTTGAGCATCATATAAACATAAAAACGATATTATCCTTGACTCTTGATATAAATTTGATATTCTGATGTAAACTGTTAAAATGACAGTGCATCATTCGAAGTGTGCAACATCAGCGTACTAATATCTGCCTTAGACTCTTTATTTGTGCAAAATTTCACTGTCAAAAACTTTACTTACGTTTTTAGAAATTACATTTTCCTAATACTGTATGTTGACTTGACAATGGTAAAACACAGACTAGAGACCGATACATAAATGTGTACGTTTACAAAGTATGATAGAGTTTAAGTAGATTTTTCAACATCATTTCTTCAAGAAAATCAATGATACTTTTAGCATTTTTGAAGAATTTGGATGCATAATTAAATCTCACACCTGCGCACATATGTACTATTTCAAACAACATGGTTCTGACTATTTTTCGCATAGAACCTTTATTACTACCTTTTTAAATTTTTCATCAAATCATATTTACATTCTTATTTCTGATAATCTCAATCTTTTTGACTAAATTAGTTAGACGCAAACCGCTGAAATATAAGAAAATAACTTAAAAAAGACCGATCAATGTCCGGTACAAAATAGTTTATGGGTCACCTGAATAGGTTAATGTTTGGTGTCAGACAACTAATAAACCTTGGTTGTAATTAGAGGGTATCAAATTAGGGTTTGTTTTAATAGTTGATAGTACTTATTCATTGACCAGAAATGTGTGGTTGTTGAAGGCAAAAGGTCATGTCAAAAAGATCGCATAAACTTCGATTTTTTTTTCTGAATTTGTTAAAATGTCAAACCCACGTTATATATGTCCGTTTCAGGCTTGGCACAACAAGTCAAAAATACAATTCTTAATTATATGTTCAATAGGTAAGAAACTGCTTGTAGGCCATGTGGGTTATTGTCATTAATCAGATACAACATAAATTTAATTTGAAAAATTAATGCTAGATTCATAAATTTCTTCTACTGTAAACCAACTAATTTTCGCGAGCGATTTATTTTTGCGACTTTCGCGAGTATAAAAATAACGCAAATATAAATCGTCGCGAAAATGTAAAACTTGGATCTTTCCTTATTAAACTACATCAAGTAAATTAGAAAATCGCAAAATTAAATAGCCGCGAAGTGGACTTGAAAGTGTTAAACGCGAAATAAAGTATCCGCGAAAATAAGTTGATTTACAGTATTTATTTGTGTGAGTATTTTTACAATCACTGGATATGTGAGGTTTGTAGGCTCTGTCACACTACTGTAGGAACATTAATTTTATAGGTGTTGAAAATTTGTGGCTTTTGTCTTTAAATTTGATTTCATGGTGATCAATTTTCATGGTTTCTAGTATGTTAAAGAAATATTCATTGTAGGTTAAAATTTCATTTGGTGTAATTTCTTAGATATCAGTCCACGAAATCAGAACCCCAACAAATAATACTGCTTTTACAGTATGACAAACATTGTTTCTAAAGCTTTATCTAAATCTTTTGTATTTGAGTAGCAAAATACTTTTGTGGATGTATGTAAAGCAATTCTAAAAATTCTGTGTAATGGCTGATGTAAACATGGCATGAAATGATAAATCATATAATTTCATTTGATATAATTTTTAACTAAAAATATTAAGTGTATTACAAATGTTCAAAGATTCACATTTCCTAAACAGCAACACAATAAAAACTCCATCAAGGACTACAAATCATTTGAATCCCAGTATGCTTTCAAAATCCACAGAAGTGGTTAATAAATAAATATCTTAAGCTTTTTTTATAATTTTATTTACTTGGAAATCTTTCTGCGGGCTTTCTAGCACTCACAACTCTTGGTGGGTCTTTCTCAGGACTAGTTACTCCTCTCATGTGGAAATCTGCAACATCTACTGGGTTTATAGATTTAACTGGAGATAGTTTTGTTGGCTGAAAAATTTAGATGGAAAACATGAGAAATACTCTGTCATGTCCATAAATTTTCTAATCATTTTTATCAATTCTTGTATATATAAATATATTATATGTGGCTTTAATTTAATGAACATTTTGAATAAGAAAAGCTCTACTATAACATCTTAGATATACAATTTATAAATAACACATGATAGAGCAGATTGTTACCCGTTATCACAACGAAAACATTGTCATCCGAAGTAAAGCCAAGGTTGACAATTTTTTTTGAAGGGCAACAATCTCCTCTATTATACATTTATTATACATTGTATAGCTACCAAAAGTATTCATAATATCTAAAACAAACTTACACTGAGAATTTCATCAGAGGAAGATAATCTTGGTGATTTATTACTGATATTTTTAGACTGTTCCTGAACTTTCTGCAGCAGAAGAGCAGATAATTCCTCATACATTTTGTTGACATCTCCCTGTAAAACATTTATGCACATCAAATAAAATGATCAAAACAAAAAAGTTCTTTTAAAAAACTACATAGGAATGAAAAAGGGTATAGGGACATAATGGGGGTACTATCAATAAAGCAAAATTTTCTGCCTCTAATTCACCTCTTCTCCCTTAACAGCTTCTGGTACTAAGTTCATTTGGTCACATGACAAATCCCTTTTTCAAAAACAAAAAGATAATCTGTATATTTGTATGTGCCATATGATTTACATCTTTTCTGCTAAAATCTACTGGTACTTTGTTTATTGTGTTTCAATGTTACTTATTCTCTTTTCCCTTATATCTACATATTTCTTGATTTTAAAAACTTGCACTTGTTCCATATCAGCTAAAAATTCTGTAATAATTTTGTCATTTTACTGAATACTTCTTGCAAAACATTGTGCATTAAGAAATTTGTGTTGAAGTTAATGTATGGTATTCTTAACTTATCCAAAATTGTGAAGACTCAATATTTTGATCGTCCAGAAATATGATATGCATACTTGTTTAATGTTGAAGACTCTATGTTAAACTCAGAATGTTTTGGGTTTTTGCTTTGTTGACAAAATGTTAAGTTGCTGTCTTATTCACTTATGCCTCACATCTTTTATTCATGTTTAAATTGGACCTGTTCTAATTTGCTTATTAAGAATGTCTTAAGACTTAACACTTATTCGATTACAGATACTTTGTTTATTTTGTATTTCCCTTGACTTACCCCTTCTTCTCTAATAGCTACAGATACTTTGTTTATTTTGTCTTTCCCTTGACTTACCCCTTCTTCTCTAACAGCTACAGATACTTTGTTTATTTTGTCTTTCCCTTGACTTACCCTTTCTTCTCTAACAGCTACAGATACTTTGTTTATTTTGTCTTTCCCTTGACTTACCCCTTCTTCTCTAACAGCTACAGATACTTTGTTTATTTTGTCTTTCCCTTGACTTACCCTTTCTTCTCTAACAGCTACAGATACTTTGTTTATTTTGTCTTTCCCTTGACTTACCCTTTCTTCTCTAACAGCTACAGATACTTTGTTTATTTTGTCTTTCCCTTGACTTACCCCTTCTTCTCTAATAGCTACAGATACTTTGTTTATTTTGTCTTTCCCTTGACTTACCCCTTCTTCTCTAATAGCTACAGATACTTTGTTTATTTTGTCTTTCCCTTGACTTACACTTTCTTCTCTAACAGCTACAGCTACTTTGTTTATTTTGTCTTTCCCTTGACTTACCCTTTCTTCCCTATTAGCTACAGATACTTTGTTTATTTTGTCTTTCCCTTGACTTACCCCTTCTTCTCTAACAGCTACAAATACTTTGATTATTTTGTCTTTCCCTTGACTTACACCTTCTTCTCTAACAGCTACAGATACTTTGTTTATTTTATCTTTCCCTTGACTTACCCCTTCTTCTCTAACAGCTACAGATACTTTGTTTATTTTGTCTTTCCCTTGACTTACCCCTTCTTCTCTAACAGCTACAGATACTTTGTTTATTTTGTCTTTCCCTTGACTTACCCTTTCTTCTCTAACAGCTACAGATACTTTGTTTATTTTGTCTTTCCCTTGACTTACCCCTTCTTCTCTAACAGCTACAGATACTTTGTTTATTTTGTCTTTCCCTTGACTTACCCCTTCTTCTCTAACAGCTACAGATACTTTGTTTATTTTGTCTTTCCCTTGACTTACCCTTTCTTCTCTAACACTGTAACAGCTACAGATACTTTGTTTATTTTGTCTTTCCCTTGACTTACCCCTTCTTCTCTAATAGCTACAGATACTTTGTTTATTTTGTCTTTCCCTTGACTTACCCTTTCTTCTCTAACAGCTACAGCTACTTTGTTTATTTTGTCTTTCCCTTGACTTACCCCTTCTTCTCTAACAGCTACAGATTCTTTGTTTATTTTGTCTTTCCCTTGACTTACCCCTTCCTCTCTAACAGCTACAGATACTTTGTTTATTTTTTCTGTCACATCTTTATCACCCGTTGCTGTTATCACTAAATTCATTACACCTAAAACAGGAAATAATATTATACTTACCATATTGATTTGAACTATTGATACATTCATACTTAAACCTCTAAATTTGAAAGCTTATCTAAGCCTTTCTCACATATCTGCTGGTCATGCAATTCAACTAGTCACATCAAAATGAATTAAAAGTGAATGTGAGCACTGAATGATACATAGTTTCTAAAGGATTGTATACAGACTTTCCCAAACCCACAGAATTAAATATCGACGAAAAGATAAGTTTTCCTCAATCTACAAAAATAAATGAATCCACAGTATATTCATACACCATGTACACCTCATGTAATTTTCTTTAAAAATGAGGTTATACACATACACATCATTTGTAACATATGAGTACATATTTCATTGATAAATTGACTGACATCTGCTTTGATAGGATGTAAAGAGTTTTCACCTTAATGCATTGTTTTTTTGCCGTCATAAGTAGTGATGAGGTCTGGAAAATACAGCTATCAAGCCAGTCCCAAAAGGGTTTTTAATTGCAAGAAAACAATTTTCAGCCCCAAAAATGGGAGCAAATGTAGATAAACTGCTTCGCCTAGCGTAGCTGGATGCGAACCCAGAGGTCCAACCCTGAACAGTTGGGGCAAAAATGGACACAATATTCAAGCTTGATACAGGTCTGAATTTGGATTGTAATTAAATATTTGACACATTATAGGTTTCTGACAAAGAATAAATGTAGTCCAAGAACTTGAAATTTGGTTATATGATTTGAATTTATATTCAATTGAAGATTTCTTGCTTTTGTGCAATACACTGTGCTGTTGCGCAATACTTAGTAAATCTGTTTTCAGACTATATACAAAGAATTAGCAAAATAAATTGTGACCCCAATTTTTCTTTGGAAAATTGACAATTTCTTCAATCTTGAGGGGAAAAAATTGACCCCCCTAAATTTTTTTTTACCCCCCCCCCCCCCCCCCCCCCCCCCCCCCCAATTTATGAAAAATCAATACACTTAAACAAAAGTTATTGCCTGAAAATTAAAAAAATGCTTGTTTTAGACACTTTTTGGCCCCTAATTCCTGAACGGTTTGGGCAACTACCCCCAAAATGAATCCCAACCTTCTACTTGTGGTATTGAACCTTGTGGTATAATTACAGAGCAATCACAATACTAATACACAAGTTATTGTCCTGAAACTAGAAAAATACTTATTTTGGGCCCCTAATTCCTAAACGGTTAGGACCATCACCCCCAAAAACAATCCCAACCTTCCTTTTGTCGTATTGAACCTTTTGGTTAAATTTCATAGAGATCCATACACTAAAACTAAAGTTATTGTCTGGAAACCAAATGTCTTCGGACGATGACGACGACATGATAGCATTATACGACCCCAAAATTTTTTTGCGGTCCTATAAAAACCCAATTTACACTGAGAACGTTGGCAAATAAGATGGTTTAATGTATTCATTTTCAAAAATATGTCTCCTTCCACATTTGCCTTAATAAATAATACAAAGTATTAGTAAATGTAACTAGTTAACATAATTAACTTGGTATAAGTTAAATACCTATATCTTTTGTTATGTAGTCAAAGAATGTAGGAACAATACACAATAGCTGTACAACTTCTGAGGCAAGTAAACATTTATAGTCTCTATAGCTGAAAATAGAAAGTTTACAATGTAGAATATTTTACACACAAATACACCTCTGATAAAAGTACCCATAAATATTCATGGATGCGATAAAACAAAAATAAAATACAGGGAAATATACTGTAACTAAATTTAACAAGTGTGCACATGCTGAAATGTCTTGCCTGTTTTACTGACCATAAATTTTATGTTGAAAATCTTTTAGATAAAGGTATCACATAAACTTGACATATTTAAAGATCCATGACAATGAGGTCAAGGTCAGATGAAAACTGTCACACAGACATGTACACCTTACAATTATTCCATACACCAAATATAGATGACATATTGCTTATGGTAATTGAAAAACAGACTAAACACAAAAAACTTAATGTTAACCAATGAACCATAAAAATGAGGTCTAGGTCATATGATACTGGCTAGACAGACATGTACACCTTAGAATCATTCCATACACCAAATAAAGTTGACATATTGCTTATGGTAATTGAAAAACTGACCAAATCACAAAAACTTAATGTTAACCAATGAACCATGGAAATGAGGTCAAGGTCAGATGATACTGGCTAGATAGACATGTACACCTTACATTCATTCCTTACACCAAATATGGTTGACCTATTCTATAAGTATTTGAAAAACAGACCATAACACAAACACTTAACATTAACCAATGAACCATGAAAATGAGGTCAAGGTCAGATGACACCAGCTAGACAGACATGTACCTCTTACCATCATTCCATAAACCAAATATAGCAGACCTATTGCTTATAGTACTTGAAAAACAGACCAAAACACAAACACTTAACATTGACCAATGAACCATTAAAATGAGGACAAGGTCAGATGACACCAGCTAGACAGACATGTACACCTTACAATCATTCCATACACTGAATATAGTTGACCTATTGCTTACAGTACTTGAAAAACAGACCAAAACACAAAAAATTAACAATGACCAAAAAACCATTAAATGAGGTCAAGGTCAGATGAACCCTGCCAGTCTGACATGTACCCCTTACAATCATTCCATACACCACATATAGTTGACCTGCTGCTTGTAGTATCTGAGAAATGGACCTAATCATGTAACTTTAACCTTGATCACTGATCCATGACCGACATGTAGATGTTGCAAGGAACACATATACCAAATATAGTTATCCTATTACTCATAATAAGTGAGAAATTCAATGTATTTTTATTTCAAGCAGTCACTGAACCATGAAAATGAGGTCAAGGACAATGGGCATATGACAGATGGAAACTTTGTAACATAAGTTATCTGCATACAAGGTATGAAGCATCCAGGTCTTCTACCTTCTGAAATATAAAGCTTTATACAAATAGTTTACGCCTCCGCCGGATAGTAATACCTATGTCTCGCATACTGCGACTTTTGGCGCAGGCGAGACAAAAACCATCTTGAAAAAATTCACAAGTATCAACATCATCAATTAAAAGATAGAAGCCCCTCTAAAAACAGGAGTCCCCATTTATCATTCTGATAATTTAATTTATCAAATCATTTAAAGTTTTGGCAACCCTTCTATCAATCTGAAGCATAACATATAATACTAATTTTCTATTCAGATCAATAGTCATATGTTATGAGTGGCAAACAAAATTAATTCTCATGTTTAAATAAGATTTTTTTTGTCTGATTATTTGTGATCAATAAAAACATTAACATTTCAGTCAACAGAAATTTTGACATGGAAAAGTGTTTTTTATTGTATTATTACAATTATGCCAAAAAAAAATATGCTTATGACATACTGTAAATTCAGAAATTATTGCATGCATTTATTATTGCCAATCCTCGACATCTGGCAATAATGCAAAATTTAATTAATGCAATTGCAAAAATTTTATGAAGAAAAAGCACTTGTGAAATTATGAATGTGAGGTTTTATCATTACCAACCTGAAACAGTTGCATTTTTTTGCATAGGTAAAAGAATTGCAATAATTTCTGAATTTACAGTACTGTGTACATATACAAGTGTCCAAAAAAATAACTGTTAAAGTGCAATTGTAAATGTCAGATATTTCATGTAAATCTTTAAATTTTCGTCTAACTAAACATACACATAAGTCTTGCCTAATTACTAGCAAATAAATCAAAACCAGTTATTTAGTAATTTATTAAAATCATTTACAAGTAGGATATAAAATGGAGAAGTCTCATATTCTACTTGAAAATGACATACATCGATATATGTATATAAATATCAATGGTCTAGGACTCTATATTTGGCATTGATGCTGCCAGAACACTAACATGTTAATTTCACTGAATGTGTCATTCATTGCAGACAAGACAATAGCTCAAAATTTATAATTTTTATTGGTGAAAAAGTTTACTGTGCATGCATATCATCTATCAAATTACACTAATGTGCAACCAAAAATCTATATTACCCTTGCTTGAATAAAAAATAAAAAATTACTCACATTCTATTTAACTTGACCTTTGGGCTTTAATATTTAAGAGTTATAATGATTATGAAAACTCTTATTTAAGATGCTAGAACTTTGTTAAAGAAGACTTATGTTTTATTCAAAATCATTAACCTACTTTTACTACAATTTACGCTCCTTGAAGATAAAAATTTGTCAGTGTTAATAGGTATGATGACGGATAAAATCAAATTGTTTAAGCCTTGAAGAAATATGCAAATAAGATGTACTGTGAGCTACTGCATCATTGCGAACAGGCTTAATACATCTTATGTAATAACAGGTCACAGTTTGCAAATTGTAATTTTTCAAAGTTTCTACATCTTCACAATTTTTCCTTTGTTCTTCTATTAATCTGTACATGTGTACTTACACAGTATTAAGTTTAGATCTAATGGCACATTCTCTTTTATCAACAGCATGACTGAGTTTGGTTAGTTCTGATATGGTATAAAATAAACACAAATACAACTTGTCATATAGTCCTCCATCCTACAAAAAAAGAAATAAATGTTGTGTAATTAAACTAGACAACTTTCATCCTCGTTAACACCAGACGAACAAGAATGCATTTTTTTTTTGTGCTAAACTTACCCCCACTCGTAATTCAAAATTTCAGAAAACATAAACAAGGTGTTTGACAGCTACGAAAAGCCCTCAAACCTTACAACTCATCACTCAAACCTTACAACTCATCACTCAAACCTTACAACTCATCACTCAAACGTTACAACTCATCATTGTTAAGCTGCTGACCAAATATGGAATTACTCTGTTCTGTGGTACTATAGAAATGTATGATGAAAACTTTTAAGTTCATTTAAAATATTGAAAGATTCAAAGTATGGGCAAACCAGAAGTAGGTACATGTATCTGACAGATCCAAAAATGTTCAATGTTATAACTCATTACAGTCAAGTGGCTGACCAAATACAAAGTAATTATGTTCTGTAGTTCCTAAGATAAGTGTGACCAAAATATTTGTTTGATGAATGGATGGAAAATGTGAATGTGCTATAGCACCCACTCCTAGAGTTGGGGTATGAAAGATGATTAAAAAATAAAAGAAGAATGCGTCCCAGGACACGAATGCACCCTCTCAAGCTTTCAATTTTTCAAGTCAAAAAGGGGCACAACAGTAGAACAGTAAGTGACTCTCTCCCTAAATTCAAACTCTGTTTGCGTGTTGTGGTTCTTAGCATTGTGTATGAGTTTCATATAATTTGGATGAGACAAACTTAAGTTAGAGTGCGGAAATTGAAAAATTTGCAATTTTCCAAGTTAAAAAGGAGCACAACTCTAGATTGGTAAGTGACTCACTCCCTAAATTCGAACTCTGTCTGCGAGTTTTGGTTCCTAGCATTGTGTATGAGTTTCATAAAATTTAGATGAGGAAAACTTTAGTTAGAGTGCGGAAACGAAAAATTCGTAAGGGTTCAGCAGAACCCAGTGTCTCATCTACTTTTGCTGTTAATTGCAGGCTCAACAAAAATGAGATGAGGAAAAAATTTAATACAAAATATTCCTCTCAATACAAGTCCATTTATAAGTAAAATATGGATAAACAAGTACAAAATTTTAATAAAAATTTCCTTCTAGATACTAGCTTTTGATCATAAACAAACTTCTGTCCATATTTGGTACAAATCCAGGATAGTTCAAGAAAGTTATTAAAATTTTAAAAACTTTAACCACAGAGTGAATGTAATGTTTCCTGGAAGGAAAAACTAAGTCCATTTATAAGTAAAATACAAAACAGGAATTTTCCAAGTTTGGTACAAATCCAGGATAGTTTAAGAAAGTTATTAAAATTTCAAAAACTTTAACCACAAAATAAATATTTGTGGACGCCGCGGCCGACGACGCCGACGGAATGTAGGATTGCTATGTTTCGCTTTTTCGACAAAAGTCGAAGGCTTGACAAAAATGGGACGAAAGGAAGGACAGTTAAAATATCTTATATTCAGTAAAATATGTGTGAAATTACAATACGTTGTTAGGAAGTTTCCATGGGAGATAATCAATTTTTCTTTCGAAAAGTCTTCTATATTCAAAAGAATAATGATTTTAGGTTATCTCCCATGGAAACTTATTAACAACGTATTGTAATTTCACATATATTTTACTGAATATAATTTTAATTCAAATGATGTCTGATTCTTATGAATATAGAAGAATTTTTGAAAGAAAAATTGTATGAAAGCTTAGTTTGGACATTTTTATAGCAATTCAAAATTACTACCTATCACCTTTAGCATGACAATTTCAATAAAATGTTTTTACAAATTGTTAGACTGATATTTCATAATATCATTGAAGTGGAATTAAAGTCTTATAGGATTGTAAGTATGCTTTTTTTTATCAACTTGCACTTTCACGACTTGACAGTGGTTTTCTACAGCAGTTTGTTCAAATTTCTGACCAGTTGAACAGTTTGGTTTTATAAAACAAATTGCAATTTGCTCAGAATTTTGAATAAATTGCAATAGGTGGAGAGCAACACTAACAGTCAAGTCACAGTAATATTATAAAACATTTGTGATCATCACTGAAAACTTGTTAAAAATATAATTTTGACTCATTTAACACAGAAAAGAGGAAATAAAAACCTTCCAGGGTATATGCCCAAAGGAGAGTATTGTCTATATCAAATATTATCCCTTTATTCATTTATGTCCTTTCATGATTCAACTTTTCTTTATTTCTTTAGAAAGAACTACCTCGGTTGTCTCATAGCAGATTGCTTATCTCAAGTATGTAGAGTTGAGGGTTCTATTCCCAGGTGAGTCAAACCAAATCTTGGAAATTGGTATTTGTCAAATACTTGTTTGCTTAGAGGAGAATCTAAGCAAACTGCAATAAGTAGTAAGAACAAACATTATTTTGGTTTTGAACAATTTCGGAAAAATAAAATTATCAAGCACACATATCTAAAAAATAAAAATCAGATAATCTACTGATATAACAAATTCTATGATATATTACATGCCTCTTTGTCATCTTTGTCCACCTTAACAGCTCCCAATAAAATGGACACAATATAACAACGAACATCTCGTGATAATAAAAATATATCCATGGTAAACACATTCCTGTAAAATAAAAGAGTATATATAATTAAACATTTAATACTACATAATGTGTCTGCTGGTAGAAAAATATTTTTGAAAGAATCACTACTGAGAACAGAAAAAATACAAAAACCACAGAAGTCACTATGGTAACTAGAAAAAATTATAATTTTTTTACGATGAAAGAAAAAGTAAACTACATAATTTACTCAAGAGTAAAATAAAGTCCTTTGTCTATTTGCTATGAAATATATTGTACTGTATTAGTAAAGAAAATACTGATATATTACCAATTTTCCATAATGGGTTCCTGAACTTTGATTTTGAACACAAATTTGTTTACAATATCATTGAACTTAGATGCACTTTACACAACAATGGCAATGGTAACAATTTACTAATTTTTTTTTTAAAGTACTGGTAAATGTAAATGCATAGTGCCATGTTGAAAACAAATTGGTAGGTTCATTTAAAAATCATTGTGATATTTTTATCTGATTATTAACATTAGCAGCAACATTGGATCATAGAATTTATAGAGGAAAAAAATTGATATACATACCCAACTTTACTGAGCTTCGTTGTTTCTAATGTATCTTTCATCAAATGAGTTGGCATAACAAATTCTAATGAGGCCTGGAAGATAATGTAGAGGAATTGTATGAATACAATTTCAACAGCAGAAATCAGCACATATTGATAACACCAAAAAGGAAGAGTAAAATTTTTATCCTAATTTGTTTATTATTACAGATAAGTTTGAATGATTGAAATTCAGATATCTGGCTTTTAACTTGACTATCTCTTACATTCATGTTTATGTGTCTTATATTTTTTGCAACTTTAAATCTGTAAATCAGATGAACTTTGTAAGAGAATACGTTGTTTCCTCTTGGTAAATGGTCTACCTTACTAGAAGGGTTCCATTACTTTGTTCCAGGACTCGTACAGCTATGAAAAATCTCAAGTTCTGTATAAATAAAATATTACCTAATCAATGGTCAATCTTTTTAAAAATAAATGTGGATAGTGTCCACATGTGGACACAGATGATGCCCCTGCTTGCATATCATATAGTTATAAAGGGACATAACTGAAGAACGGTAAAAGTGACGCTACCCAAATTTGAACTTGATCTGAGTTTTGTGGTAATAAGCATTGTGTGTAAGTCTCATAACATTTGGTTGAGGCTAACTTAAGGGTGTTCGCTACTTTGTTTCAAAATAACAAGCCTTTTAAAAGAGTATTATAAATATATAAGTATATGAATAAAGGAACTGAAAAAGCAGAAAAAAATGAAGGGTCCATGTGCTTGTTTTCAAGATATAAGCCATTGAAAATTTGGCGGGAAGTGATTCTCTCTAGATTTTACATACATTTAACATTGGCACCTTTTTTCTTTCAAAAACATTGAAAAAATAACAAGAATTTTATAAGATTTTCAAATATGGCTTTTTAAACTATATGTAATAAAATTATGAAAAGAAAAGTAGGGGTTAGTGGACAAAATTTCTTAATGGAAAAACATGGATAAAACCAGAGGATTCCGAAAACTGACAAAAAATCAAAAACAAGAGGAGCGAACATCCTTAAATAGAGAACAGAAACTAAAAATTCAGCAATTTTTCTATTTGTAAACATGCATAACTCTAGAACGGTTGTGTATAAGTTTTATAACATTTGGTTGAGACAAACTAAAGTTAGAGAACGGAAACGAAAAATTCAGAAATTTTTATGTTTATAAAGGGACATAACTCAAGAATGGTGAAAGTGTCGCCACCAAATTTCGTACTTAATTTGTATTATGTAGTAATAAGCATTGTGTATAAGTTTCATAACATTTGGTTGAGGCAAACTAAAGTTAGAAAACAGAAACAAAAAATTTGTACTTGATATTAGTTTTGTGGTAATGAATATTGTGTATAGATTTCATAATGTTTGGTTGGGGCAAACTTAAGTTACAGAATGGAAACTAAAAATTTTGCAATCTTTCGATTTATGAAGGGGCATAACTCAATAATGGTTAAAATGACACTACCCAAATTCAACTTGATCTGTGTTTTATCAGTGGAAGTCAAAATTAAACAATGCATTGTATAAAGCATTGATTGTAGTTGATTCAACTATAATCATGGACAAAGGAAGATAACTCCAATTTTAAAAATTACTTGATATTTAGAAGAAACTAAAAATTTTGCAATTTTTCCATTTATAAAGGGGCATAACTCTAGAACGGTTAATGTGACGCCACCAAAATTCAAACTTGATCTGTGTTTTGTGGTAATAAGCATTGTGTAGAAGTTTCATAACATTTGGTTGAGGCAAACTCAAGTTAGAGAACGGAAACCAATTTTTGGACATACGTACGTACAGACGGACAAGGGTAAAACTTAATGCCCCCACCATTACGGCGGGGGCATAAAAAACCTGGGTCCAGATGGATAAACACTAAATGAATGTCACAAAGCTACTTACAACTAATAACATTAACAACATATTACATCTTTCACGGTCCCTTGGTCGACTACTTAATATGTCTTCCATGAAGCTTTTGTGATACCGCAAAATCTGGTAATCACTGAAACAAAATGCAGTTCTGGTTAACCTGGACAAAAACTAAAATGTATCTTAAATGCCTCAATATTTAATGACTACTTAAAATAAAATAATTCGAATAATATGACTGGAAATTAAAGTAGATTCAAATTTTGTCTTGTAACTTAATTTCTATAAAGATTTTGTATCGTTTCTGTATATACCATAAGATCTTTAAATGTTTTCTATGAAGGGTTTTATGGACTTTTCTCTTTGTTGTCTTGAGTGAGTTTAAAATGTCCCTTTTTTATCTTCTGCCTCTATTTAAATGGTATATTCAAATGCACAAAATGTCAAAACTTCCAGTTTAGTTAGCTATGATGTGGAGATTATTGAAGTAAGTGAAAAGGACGACTTTGAAGTTTTGTTTATACCAGTTGGTGCCTACTGCGTAATAGTACTTATTTTTTTTAAACCTGAAGGTAATCAGTTTGGGAATCATTTTTCTGTGTACATATAATTAAACTTTTTTTAACTTTATTACTTTTTAAATAGTCAACTTTGAATAATGTTATGCTCATATTTTACAACATCTGAATTGTAAATTATCTCAATTTACAAAACTATAAAAAAAATTATAATTGATTACTTTTGTGTGTATTTCTTTTCTATGAGTAAATCTTCCTGTAAGCTATAGGCAATATACTTAAGTCTTCTCCTGTCTGTTTCTGAAAAAAAATAAATAACTACATGAATATTACTTCATTTCACTAGTTAATTAAATTTTATAGGACTAAAAATAACCAAAGACTTATTTTTTATAATTTCCTTCTCTTTCAAATACACATATAGTTCAGTCCCTGCTTTTTCTTTATTTTGTGCTTCAACCAACAAGTAAAGCCAGGGTATCAACTGCCTATGAATTTTCAGTTTCTCTCTTTTATAATTATTTAGTGTTATAATCATGAGTTAAAACTTTAATTTGAAAATGACAAGTTTAACATGAACATCCCTGTTGGGAATACTAATGTTAATTACATCTGAAATATTAGCAAGTGCAACAATGTTTTATTGTTTTCGCACAAAGATAGGAGAATATATATATATAGTTGAGGTTGACTTTGTTAGATGATAAAACTGATTTAAGCTGAAGACAGTATGTTTCTGCTGTTTCATGTAAAGCAGGTTATGTTTTACATCTATATATAAATGACTACTTACCCACATTGTACATTCCATTCACTGGGAATTTTGTCATTACATGAGTTGCCTATAAAATGGATATGTAAAGTCTCAATATTTAACAATCAAAAGTTGTTTTTTTTTAAATTCATGACCTTGACCTATAAACTAATTTACCTATAAATATTCTTCCAAATTTGATTACTGCTAATCATCAAATCACTTTGAATTTTAATCTATTTCGAAAATATTATTACTCATATATCATATATTTTGACAAAAAATAAGAATTGTTTGGTGATAATATATGGAAAGGTATATAATGTCAGGATGTAAATAGAAATGTCTTTCCAAAGTGTGCAACATGTTAATGTCCTTTGATGTCTGGTTTTATATTTTTGAGAAGTCAATACAATTTTATATAGCATTGTCATTTTTGTTATTTTGAGGTATTTTGTAGATGGAGATTAAACTTATGAACAAGAGTGCACATGCTGAAATGTCTCACCTGCTTTACTGATTGAGACTGAAAGTCCTTAAGATCAAGGCTTAACTACATATGTCACATAAACTTAACATTATTAAATTATGATCCATGAAAATGAGTTCAAGGTTAGATGAACCCTGTCAGATGGACATGTACACCTTAAAAATTGTTCCATACACCATATATATTTTATCTATTGCTTCTAGTATCTGAGACAGACCTAATCATGAAAACTTAATATTGACCAAAGAACCACTTTCAAACATTAAAAAAAGCTTGATAATGTGTCCCACAAAATTTCAAATGCAGTGAAAATAAATAAATATTTGATTGCTGTCTCATCTGTAAACAAAACCCTTCTTAAGTTATTTATTTGATGTTTACTTTTGCACAATGTGTCATTTCTCAGATAATTAGTCCTGTGATTAGATTATTTTATTACAGCTTCAGCATAAACAATTCTAGTAACAACAGGACATTGAGTGTCCATTATTGTGTTACTGTAAATTCAGAAATTATTGCCAGGTTTTTATTAATGCGAATAATGGGACTTCTTGAGTATCGCAATAATAAGAACTCGCATTCTTATATCAAACACATATATATATGTATGTAGCTTTTCCTAAAATCGCAATAATTAAACTCACATTTCTGTTCATTTTTTGAAATTTGGAATAATAAATGCACGCAATAATTTCTGAATTTACAGTAAGTTATCTTCACTGATGCTTATTCCTCTTAATTTACTATTTATTTAACATGTTACCTTATCACCAAATATTCCTGTCACATCTATTCTCTTCATTGCTGTAGGTATGAACCAGTCTTTTGATAATTTGTGTCTCTGAAAATATTAATATACATGTATGAATGTGGCTCTATATCAGTCATTCAATGAATATTTTCAATTTACTGATATTACTAGAATTTCTAGTTGAAGTAAAATTCCTGTACAATCCAAAATTATTTTTTGATTTATTCCCGATTGATTTTTTATGTCAAATTTCTTTTGATATGAATTTCAATTAAAAGATTGTATTAGCTAGGCAGTGATGGAATGATAAATATCAATTTATAGGTGTTATATCACCACAACATGGTACGTCACATCCAGTTTCATACGAAAAAAGGTTGAAAAAAAATATTCCCTTGAAATTTGAAAGTTGTAGGAAATTAACAATACATTTCATTGCAAAAAAAAAATTCTGAGTCATAAACATATGTCTTGGATGTTTCAAAGCATCATTCTTTTTTTTATTTGGTGTTTTAATAAAATATTTTGGAATCCAGGTTACACGGTTACTAAAGCTTGTAAAGAAGGAAAAAAGGGGTGAAAATTTGATTGGTTTACTTTCGGTGATGGTTATTATCTTATATCTCTTTATATTTCTTTATTTGACACTAAGATAAATTCTGCACAATTTTTTGAAAAATGCTAATTTAAAAAGACTAATAGGGGAACAACAATGGTGGTACATCTATTACTTCTTTAAACAACTAAAACGAGTTAAATCAGAGTTATCTTTCTTTATAGCAATGAAATAATTTTGGTACATTTAATCTCGCTGAAATCCATCAAATGATCTCCAATGAGTTAGGCTCATGTATAAAAAAATTCATAAGGGGTTCCGCAGAACCCTGTGTCTCGCCTGCGATTGCTGCTGTCAGTGTAAAAGTGTAGTGTTAACTTAATAAGTGAGTCCATTTAACAGTAAAATACAGAATTTAAAAAAAATTCAAACTTTTTCTTTAGATGCTATTTCTTGGTCTTGAAGATGAGCTTCTGTCCAAGTTTCATAACAATCCATGAAGGTTTACAAATTTATCATGTAAAAAAAATTCAATCCCAGACTGTCTGTCAATGTTAACTGTAAACAAGAGGCTCTCAAGAGCCTGAATCCCTCACCTGTATTTCAGAGGAGAAGATTTTTAAATGTTAGCAAACTTGATGAACAAATAGTGTAAAATTGTCTTTAAAGGGCAATAACTCCTTAAGGGTCAATTGACAATTTTGGTCATATTAACTTTTTTGTAGATCTTACTTTGCTGAACATTATTGCTGCTTACAGTTTACATATATCTATAGTAATATTCAAAATAATAACAAAAAACTGCAAAATTTTGTTAAAACTACCAATTCGGTGGCAGCAACCCAACAATGGGTTGTTCGATTCGTCTGATAATTTCAGGGTCGATAGATCTTGACCAATTAAACAATTTTACCCCATGTCACATTTGCTCTAAAAGATTTAGTTTTTGAGATAAAAGCCAAAAACTGCATTTGACCCTTATGTTCTATTTTTAGCCATGGCGGCCATGTTTGTCAATGGATACAAACTTCGGATACAATTTATAAACAAGATACCCTAAGGAACATTTAGTTAAGGTTTGAAGGTAATTGGCCAAGTAGTTTCAGAGGAGAAGATTTTTAAATGTTAGCAAACTTGATGAACAAATTGTGTAAAATTGTCTTTAAAGGGCAATAACTCCTTAAGGGGTCAATTGACAATTATGGTCATATTAACTTTTTTGTAGATCTTACTTTGCTGAACATTATTGCTGCTTACAGTTTATATATATCTACAATAATATTCAAAATAATAACAAAAAAACGCAAAATTTTGTTAAAACTACCAATTCGGTGGCAGCAACCCAACAATGGGTTGTTCGATTCATCTGAAAATTTCAGGGCTGATAGATCTTGACCAATTGAACAATTTTATATCATATCAGATTTGCTCTAAAAGCTTTAGTTTTTGATATATAAGCCAAAAACTGCATTTGACCCCTATGTTCTATTTTTAGCCATGGCGGCCATGTTTGTCGATGGATCAAAACTTTGGATACAATTTATAAACTAGATACCCTAAGGAACATTTAGTTAAAGTTTGAAGGTATTTGGCCCAGTAGTTTCAGAGGAGAAGATTTTTGAAATAGTTTACGATGACAGACGACGACAACGACGGACGCCAAGTGATGGCATAAGCTCACATGGGGCCCTTTGGGCCCTGGTGAGCTAAAAATGAAGTCCATCTATCAGAAAAATACTAAAAATGAAAAAATTATATTTTCAAAGGTTTGCTTCAGACATTATCTCTTAATCATTAAAAAGCTACTGCCAAAGTTTCATAAAACTCTATGAAGGTTTGACAAAGTAACTGATGTGTAACAAACTTTAACCCCAGACAGTATCTACTTGTTAACTGTAAAATAACTAAGTTCATTTATTAATAAAATACGGAAAAATGAAAATAAATATTTTCAAAATTTTGCCCTGGATACTGTCTTTTGGTCATAAACAAGCTTCTGTCCAAACTTCATAAAATTCCATATAGGTTTGACAAAGTTATTGATGTCTAAAAAAAGATCTAACCACAGACTGAACCTAACTGTTGACGCCACCGACGGAATCTAGGATTGCTATGTCTCGCTTTCGCGAAATAAATTTCACAGGCTCAACAAAAAGCTAAGGCCTTAAACTCCATTAACATAAATATCAAAAAATTATAAGGCCATAGTTATGAGCCAACTTCAAGTACAACTTTAAATATCATTATAAATAAATCCTTCTTTAAAGTTTTAAAGCAATCCATGAGACCCTGTTAGGAGTCACAGTGCCAAGGTTTATGAGCAGGTAGTTGACTAATAACATGTACTCTATGACTAACATTAATAGGGATTGAATTATCTCACAATAACAAATACCCAGTACTAATGTTTATTTATTCCAGAGATCTGGGATTTCCATGTGAATTCTTTCAACTTACAATAGGATGTTCTGTTAATGCAGATTCATGGAAGAAATTCTTCACTTGTAGACGTTCACCAGCTGCAATAAAAAAAAAACATTATTAGAATTTTGAATTATTTTTCCTCCTCACTGACAAATTTAAAAAAATAAACATTATGTCACAGGTGAAATAAATCCTGTATTTTCACTCCTCTGACATCATACAACAATAGACAATCAAGACATCATCAATTGAATTGAGAACACATAGAAAAGAAATACTGTTCCATGCATTTACTACTTTATTCACATAAAAAATCAATGAAATATAAATTATCTAATGTGTTGTTCAATCACTCATTGAATAATTTTCAATATTTGAATTCTAGGAAGGTTATTCAATAAAATATTTCTTATCTGAATAAAATTGTAACATTTATTTATTGGAAAACATTAGACAAACATGTGACTGAACATCTAAGATCATAAGAATCTAAATGTATGTACTGATAAATTTTTTTCACTAAGTTATAAATTTTCACTGTTTATTACATGTTTGCAATTTAAACAAACTACAACATGTACAAATGTAAAGTATTAATGATAGCTATTCTTCCTCTGGAGTCATAACACTGTGCTATTTTGACTACATGTCATCCAAACAGTTTATCTATTTGAACCAAACCAGTTTTATCATTGAAAATAGATAAATCTTAAATAGTTCAGAGTTCCGGAAAATTTTTATTGATCCTAAATTTTTTTTTTAGCTGATCTATCTGTTTTTGATGGGTTACAATAAGGAATCCAATGCTTTAGAAGAGAAAAAAATTGCTAAAATATCTCACATGCTGTTACCCTTTACTGATACTTGGTTTTTTGTGGTCAAGTTTTTGGTAGTGAAGTTAGAGAATGATTAAGTTACTTTAACAAGTCTAAGGAAAAAAGAAAGTTACATGCGATGCCAGGCCGTGAATATAACCCCACACATTATTGGACATTAAAGAAAAGTTACATGTGATGTCTGGCCAAGTATATACCCCCACACATCATTAGACATTAAATAAAAGTTACATGTGATGTCAGGCCAAGTATATACCCCCACACATCATTAGACATTAAATAAAAGTTACATGTGATGTCAGGCCAAGTACATACCACCACACATCATTATATATAATTAGACATTGAAGAAAAGTTACATGTGATGTCAGGCCAAGTATATACCCCCACACATCATTAGACATTAAAGAAAAATTACATGTGATGTCAGGCCAAGTATATACCCCCACACATCATTAGACATTAAATAAAAGTTACATGTGATGTCAGGCCAAGTATATACCACCACACATCATTATATATAATTAGACATTGAAGAAAAGTTAAATGTGATGTCAGGCCAAGTATATACCACCACACATCATTATATATAATTAGACATTGAAGAAAAGTTACATGTGATGTCAGGCCAAGTATATAATCCCACACATCATTGGACATTAAAGAAAAGTTACATGTGATGTCTGGCCAAGTATATACCCCCATACATCATTAGACATTAAATAAAAGTTACATGTGATGTCAGGCCAAGTATTTACCACCACACATCATTATATATAATTAGACATTAAATAAAAGTTACATGTGATGTCAGGCCAAGTATATACCACCACACATCATTATATATAATTAGTTATTGAAGAAAAGTTACATGTAATGTCAGGCCAAGTATATAACCCCACACATCATTGGACATTAAAGAAAAGTTACATGTGATGTCTGGCCAAGTATATACCCCCACACATCATTAGACATTAAATAAAAGTTACATGTGATGTCAGGCCAAGTATTTACCACCACACATCATTATATATAATTAGACATTGAAGAAAAGTTACATGTGATGTCAGGCCAAGTATATACCACCACACATCATTATATATAATAAGACATTGAAGAAAAGTTACATGTGATGTCAGGGAAAGTATATAACCCCACACATCATTGGACATTAAAGAAAAGTTACATGTGATGTCAGGCCAAGTATATACCACCACACATCATTATATACAATTAGACATTAAATAAAAGTTACATGTGATGTCAGGGATAGTATATAACCCCACACATCATTGGACATTAAAGAAAAGTAACATGTGATGTCAGGCCAAGTATATACCACCACACATCATTATATATAATTAGACATTAAATAAAAGTTACATGTGATGTCAGGCCAAGTATATAACCCCACACATCATTGGACATTAAAGAAAAGTTACATGTGATGTCTGGCCAAGTATATACCCCCACACATCATTAGACATTAAATAAAAGTTACATGTGATGTCAGGCCAAGTATTTACCACCACACATCATTATATATAATTAGACATTGAAGAAAAGTTACATGTGATGTCAGGCCAAGTATATACCACCACACATCATTATATATAATAAGACATTAAATAAAAGTTACATGCAATGTCAGGGAAAGTATATAACCCCACACATCATTGGACATTAAAGAAAAGTTACATGTGATGTGAGGCCAAGTATATACCCCCACATATCATTGGAAATTAAAGAAAATTTACATGCAAAGTCAGGGCAAGTATATACCCCCACACATCATTATACATTAAAGAAAAGTTACATGTGATGTCAGGCCAAGTATATAAACTCACACATCATAAGACATTGAAGAAAAGTTACATGCGATGTCAGGGCAGGTATATAACCCCATACATCACTAGACATTGAAGAAAAGTTACATGTGATGTCAGGCCAAGTATATAAACTCACACATCATAAGACATTGAAGAAAAGTTACATGCGATGTCAGGCCAAGTATATAAACTCACACATCATAAAACATTGAAGAAAAGTTACATGTGATGTCAGGCCAAGTATATAAACTCACACATCATAAGACATTGAAGAAAAGTTACATGCGTTGTCAGGGCAGGTATATAACCCCATACATCACTAGACATTGAAGAAAAGTTACATGCCATGTCAGGCCAAGTATATACCCCCCACACATCATTAGACATTGAAGAAAAGTTACATGCAATGTCAGGCCAAGTATATAACCCCACACATCACTAGACATTGAAGATAAGTTACATGATCAGTGGGTAACTTAAAAATTCAAAGAATCATCAAACAGACTTCCTGGTATTTGTTTTACATATATATGTAGATGAGATTGTGAGACAAATATTATAATTAAGACAGTGGATTTTTCTAGGATTCCTCAGAGTCAGGTTAAGGACTTACTCCCAATAGAAAATAATTCAAAATCATGCAGAATTCCCAAACTTAACATTTTGCCTCACTAAATTTTATTCCAAAATTACCTGATTTTGGTATACATATAAACTTCCCAAAATGCCATTAAAAGGACCAGTCTCAAAAGACCCAGTGAATACTTAAGGCTCCCAGTTTAGGGTTGCCTAATGAGCTACTTAATTACAACCCCTGTATCATAGCAAGTTCAATTGCCCTGAAATATACACATATTGTGACATAACAACTTTGAAGACTGATAAACTGCTAACGAAAGTGGTATAAAATCTGACAAAAGTGTAATGGAGTTCTATCATTTCATCGATAACTTTATTTAAATAAGAAGAAAAACACTCAGTTTATATGCCATATAATGTTGTATCAAAACCTTTTAAGTCAATAGAAATGGATAAATTGTTTATCAATCTATACTGAAACCTAGGTACTTCATTTTTAAAAAGGTTAATAAAACATTGACTGGTTTTTCAGTATTTATTCTGAGTAAACAGGTAAACAGTTTTAAAGGAAGTTTCAGTGAAAGGTTCACTTAATCCATTAACTTTTCCATAAAATATTTTATAGCTGTAATTTCATGCTAATTAGGTCTTGTGTGTTACATGCTAATGATGACATAAAGTGGACTGAATGGCAAAGAGAATTTTGTATTATAAGTTTATACTGGGAAATTTTCCTACAAGTTTTCATTCTGATCTCATATACAGAAAATAACTGTCCTGAAATATCAGAAATTAATTTATCTAGAGAACAATTACATACTATAACTCTGTGACATCCAATGTCTTAATTGTGACTTATAAAGACCATGGTCAAACACAGACCTTCATCTCCCACAAAGTTAACCATAGGCAATGATAAATAAAAATTTTGTAAGGGTTCTGCGGAACCCAGTGTCTCGCCTACTTTTGCTGTTAATCGCAGGCTCAACAAAAATGAGGAAAAAAATTAATAAAAATATTCCTCTCTATACTATCTTTTGATTGTAAGTAGCTTCTGTCCAAGTTTGGTAAAAATCCAGGATAGTTTATGAATCTAATAAATGTTTCAAAAACTTAAACTGCAGACTGTATGTAAAGTCCATTTATAAGTAAAATACGGAAAAAATGGAACAAAATTTTAACAAAATTTCCTTCTAGGTACTAGCTTTATATCATAAACAAGCTTCTGTCCCAGTTTGGTACAAATCCAGGATAGTTTAAGAAAGTTGTTAAAATTTTAAAAACTTTAACCACAGAGTGAATGTAATGTTAACTGGCAGAAAAACTAAGTCCATTTATAAGTAAAATACGGAAAAATTGAAATTTTTTTTTCCAAAATTTACTTCTGGATACTATCTTATGATCATAAACAAGCTTCTTTCCAAGTTTGGAAAAAATTCAGGATAGTTTAAGAAAGTTATTAAAATTTCAAAAACTTTAACCACAGAGTGAATGTAATGTTTCCTGGCAGAAAAACTAAGTCCATTTATAAGTAAAATACGGAAAAAATGGAATTTTTTTTTTACAAAATTTACTTTTGAATATTATCTTATGATCATAAACAAGCTTCTGTCCAAGTTTGGTAGAAATCCAGGATAGTTTAAGAAAGTTATTAAAATTTCAAAAACTTTAACCACAGAGTGAATATTTGTGGACACCGCCGACGACGACAACAACGAAGACGACGACGGAATGTAGGATCGCTATGCCTCACTTTTTCCACAAAAGTCGAAGGCTCGACAAAAAGGGGGGGGGGGGGATTAAAGTAATTATTTGTGCTCTAGGATTGGAATAATTTTTTTACCCTTTCAA